CAATGGCTAATCACTAAGGAAAACTTAAGGAGTGAATTATACCTGAATGGTGGCAGTATTTTTCTGCTCTCCAGCAACTGGAGAAAATGTTGAACCATCTCCTTTCTCAATGGTGAACTCAACAGTTCCTCTCCCTGAAAGCCTAAAAGAAATGGGAAGATATTGATTTTCCCCCATGTTCTGAGTGTTTAGTTTTCCCAGGGAATTGAGCTATGAATGATTAACTATAACTAATTTTTTTTTATGTTGGACTCATTTCAAAATGATCAGTGTATATTGACATGACTTTCAAAGCAGTGATTGACATGACTTTCAATTGCAGTCACTGACCGCGGATATTGCTGTGCGTATTGCTCCGGCAACAAAAATGATAATCCTGGTGCCTGTTGCAACAAAATTAAGTTCAGATTCTAGACATGGTCATAGCATTGTTGGATAAATTCAGACAAGTTTATTGAAGTGAAAGTAACTAACCATTGATTTCAAGATACTATCATAATTATCTAGTTTGCAGTTACCTGTAATAACTCTAGCTCTGCTACAGTATCCAGTGTAGATGCAAGGCTCACAGATACTTTATCCGCATCCTGTTCCTTTATAGATTGAATGAGAGTTTGCAAGCCACCCTGCAAAATATTTACATCATTGTGGTAGCTTTCTACAATGAACCATAACGTAACTACCAATTACACAAATTCGTCAATAAGATATTGTAGTAGATTTCATCCTACAAACACAGAATATAATTAAATGAAAATATGTAAAATTAGTCAAATTTCTTATTCTAGTTACTTTATATGAAGCCTTTTTCTTGCATCCAACATCTTTTAGCCACATGCACATCGTATATTAATATTAGTTTCATGTGAGAAACATTAACAATAGAAATTGAATAGAAATTTGTTTTGCAATGTAAGATCTACAAACTTAATTCTTAAGTATAACCCCAGAAATTAATTCAACTGAGGTCATCAAAAAAATAATAAATTTTATTGAAATGACAATGGATTATCTCTTTTTTATTCCAAATAGCAGATGGAGGATATTCAAATATTCCAGAAGATGCAGTTTTTTAGTATACCTTTCCCTCTATTAGAGATGCAAGTACCAAAGAGCCCCTTTCCTTCAGCTCTGCCGGTATACTAGCCAATATAGGATCCTTTTCGTCTACTGCTATCTGATGAAAGAAGGAAATTATCAAAATTCAAAGTGCTCTAGTGAATATTGTACAACAAGACATTATACAATGTTAAAAACACAGGAATATTTTCTAATGAGGTGCAATAAATACAATAAAATTCATATGCAAAATGTGAAGCTTTAAAGTACTTGTAGTTAAGTTATTGATGTAGACCATTAATTGAGATTATCATATATCTTTATTTAAATCTTGATTCATTTCAATTTATCTTGTTTCTTTATCTTTTCCTATCTTTCAAAAATTTGACCTATAATGAAAGATTTCTTTAAAACTTTCAGAGATGCAACATCATTAGTACATCACATAATAATCAGTATTTTGTTTCTCAGACAAATACAGCAAAGAACAAAGGTTGCAAAAAATAAAATAAATAAACAAAATAAATTAGTGAATACCTTCAAAGCTTTCTTCACATTACCCTCCATTGATCCATAAGGTTTTCTCTGCGGAATCCTCAACAGGTACGAAATATCTTCAAGAGTGTCCTGAAAGAGACATGAACAACATATAATGATGATCATTAAAATGTTCAAAGAGCAAATAAAAACTGAAAAACAATTCCCCTCTTATTCCATATTAATCAGAAGGGATATATCACTCCCTCCAGTCTTTTATATAAAAAACAAATAACTAACTTATCAAGACCAAAGACCAATAAAAGTAGTTAAGATAGTTACTTTTCATTAATAATGCCATAAAACTAAATTTTATTCCAAAAACTTTCTTTGAATTGATTAGTTTAAATAGTAGTTGCATTAAATGATACCGCCCA